AAACGGCGGTAGGAATATATATATATATACGTAAGGCGCATTAGACGCGGGCGTTATTGGTCAGTCAAAATAAAAATTTGTTTACATATATATAATATTGATGACAAGCACGCGTGTACGGGTACGATAACTAAAAATAAATTTTTATAGGAATAGTGTACCGTCGTATTGTGAGCGAGGCGTGGGGAGGGGTGAATGCGTATAACAGTCTAGTCTAGACAACGGAATATGCGATAACGCGTGGCGTTTGGAGAGTTACAAACTTACAAACAAACAACAAACAACAAACAACAAACATACACGTGAAACTAATAAAAGCGTGTTAAAAAGAACAATATCAAGTATGAACAGAATAAGAAAGGTTTCGTACATAACCTAATCGATAAAATTAATTTTAACAATTTTTATTAAAATGGTCAATTTGTGTAATATTTTCTCTTTCTCGAAATATATTTTTAAGTACCGTATAGTAATATTCATTTTTTTTTTAAATTTTTTTATAGATAAATTATGTAATTAATACATATTGTAGATTAATATTCAGAGTGATTCTTTTATTATGAACCACTCAATTGATTTAAAAATATAAATAATATTGATAACTTTTTTATTGGTTTCTTCTAGTTTCATGTATTATTAATTTATCAACCATTAAGTTATTTTTATGTTCATCCCTTACACTTTTGAAAGGGTTAAGTTTATTTTTTCAAATAACTTATTTTGTAAACAATTGAGTGAGATATAATAAACAGATTACATAATATAAGAAAGTGAATTTTAAAAAGTGAAAATAACCGGTTTTTTACTAGTTCCTTTAATTATATTGTCTTTCAAAATCATTTATTACTTGCTATTTAAGAATTCAATTTAATTACTTTTACATAATATTTTTAATTTATCACAAATAAATAATTTTGAATTATAAATATTAAGCTTAAAGTTTATAATTATATAAAAAAAGTAAATTGGGTAATTCAATCACAACTATCTATTGAATGGTGATGTCATACTTTTGTTAGTCGCTATTTTACATTATAATTTAAAGTAAATGTTAGAAAGTAGACATTAATTTGTTTTATCAATTTTAAATAAATTTGTTAAATGAATTATTTTTATTAAATATTTCAATTGTTAACAGTAAAACTATTATGAATAATGAAGGCATTTAAAGGTAATTTTGTACTTAACAAGGAACTAAAGTAGAATTAGCCACTTATTACTCATAAATTATGTACGATAATATGATGTACTATAAATTATAAATAAAGTAATGGACATATTATTTTAAAATACCACTGTGTTAATTATGAAGTTGCCAAATGCTTGCTTATCTGAAGTAGTTTTATTACCTTAAATAAAAAGAATCATCAACATATCCCTTCTATTCTACTAAACGTATTTTTAATATTATTAATTTATACGTGCATTACGTTTTAATAATATGCTTCAAAGAAACCTGAAATTACGTTTATGTAGTATTTATTATTGCAATGGATTTCCCAACTTAGTGGGAGAAGGTAATGTAAAAAACCCAGAGACCATGAACATGCGATAATTTATTTAGATGCTAGTTGTTGTTTTTTAAACATATATCTATCTATATATATATATATATATATATCTATATAATTTTTTATTTAAGAATAAACACAATCTATTATTTATTTCATTTAAATATTGGTGAATCAAATAGTTGAAAGGTTATTGAACAGAAATGTGTATATGTATTATTAAATTATAAAACTAAAAAAAAAAAACAAATTTATAGTATTAATTATTTTATGGTAAAAGTATTTTCCATTTAATAGATAATAATTTGTTTCAAATTCGTTTAGAACTTTACTTAATTTACAAAACAATAAAAATCGTTTGGTAAGTTTTTTTAATTATTTAGCTATTGGATAATTTAATTTATGATAATATTACTAATTTTTTGCAGAAATATTATATAAATTAGTTGACATAAAATATTTTAAAACACGATGAAATTATCTAAAGAAGTATACATGTTAAATTTAATAATTTTATCTTCTGCTTTTGTTGAAATTAAAAATAGAACTCAAGCAATGGTCAGTATCATATAATAGATTGATATTAAAAATTGTTTTATTATAAATCTAATAAGATGAAATAATGAAAAACAAGTTTGTGTACTAACATTTGATTTATTTTTTTAGGCATATTTGGCTGAATTTGGTTATTTAGAAACAGAAATGCAATTGCAACCACAATTAGCACATAAATTAACTAATAAAATGTTTAAAGAAGCTTTAATTGAGTATCAACTTTTTGTCGATATAACACCAACTGGTAAACTACAATAATAATTATTAAATAGATTAAATCACATAAAAAAATTGTAGAGATAAAAATAAAATGAAAAAAGTAGAATTACTTAAATTAATTAAATGTATAATTAACTGAATATACGAGTATATGTAAAATCCGATGAAAATAACATCCCTACCTCAATATTCTGCCGAAGAAAAATACTATGTTATCTCCTACAAAATATCAGGTATAACGGTGTCATAGGTAAAATATTACTTTCTAGATCAGCTGACTCGTTAAATGGAAATTACGATACGAATGTGTAAAAAAAATGTATCTTACAATAATACATAAGTATACCTAATGATGATAAATTAAATCATTGTTATTTCGTAGGATTTTATCTTTATTAATTTTATAATGAGTTAATATATTTTTACTTAAATTTTATTTAGTTAGATATGCGATTTATATACATTTATTTTTATATTATGACGTAAATAAAGAGCAGTTAAAACTCACTATCCTACTAGTTTACATTATTTCTATCTGTAGAAATTAATACTACGCCTATGTAGTAAGCGCTAGAAATTATTTGTTTTATTCTGACTAGACTAGAAATGATCTCTGTAAAATGTTCAAGATAATTTGTTACAACATGTTTATTTAGTTTAGTAAGGAAATTTTTTATTTAGTAAGGAAATGGGTTTCTATTGTTCTCAATGAGGTTTATAACAATTGACCTGTTTCCTTACTTCTGAACACGTGTATATAAAGAGTGGAGCAGACCTAACTGACAACTCATGTAGTTTATGATCAACATAACATTTTATACTTTTTTTTTTAATCAATCTTTACAATATGAAACTATATTTAAAATATGTTTTATGTTATTTTTTCCAATTTCAAAAAGGATTTTAAAAATGAATTTTTTTTAAGATTTGAAGATTACCATTTTTAGATAAGTTTTAAAGAAAAATTCTGATATCAAAAACTCGTGTTAGCATCGATGCGAAGCTGAGAAGGTATTGGTTTTACTATGATGTGTTTTTTTTTTTTTGTGCCTGTTACCACTTTTTCTCAGCTCTCACCGAACGAATTTGTTTCAACTATACGTCAAAAGATCACAAATCGTATCTAGTCGAAGACATTACCCTCAAAAATTGAAAAAAATTCCCTCGTTCCCCGTAAATGGGGGAAACCTCCAAAAAAATTACAAATTTAAAAATCGCTAATTTTTGAAATTTTATCAACTTTTTTTACTAAAAACTGTCGTAACTTTTTCAAAAGTGAACATATCAATATAATTTTTTTTTTATAGATGCTTGATGTCTTTACCTATCATTTGCTATATTTTTTTTATAAATTTAACCCTTTACCTGCCCACAAGGGGTATTTAAAATGACACTTTTTCACAAAAAATTAACNGGGATTTCAAATGACAACTTTTTCACAAAAAATTTACCTTTACACTTAACTTTTGAAAGTGTTCCGGAAAGTCTGACACTATTATATATGTCTTAAATTAAAGCTAATAATTAATGTGCTTTATTATGGAAAAAAAGAATGTCGGACTTTATTTTGTCTTCAATGTGAAAATGGCTACCGAATGCTATTATTGTGTGAAAATTCTCGATTTTATTTTTTACATTTTTAACATTATAATGCTATAACTTATTGAAAAGTGTATAGATCAACATAATTTTTTTATGAGAAATAATATTTTTTAATATTCCCTTTTTCATTTGACATCTTTATCTTAATCAGGATATTAATAAGGAACTAGCAGATCATGTAGCTTTTGGAATAATCCACTAATTTTTTAAAATTAAACACTATCTAAAGATTTGCATCGAAGCGTTTTTTTTTGATAGTGATTTTAATCACTGTCAGATATCATTATACTTGATTCAACTATGCCGCGATCCTCTGTGCTGGGTTTTTTTAATCTAATAAAATTAGACTGTAAAAAATTATATATTATATAGATTTTATCAATTAATTCATAAAATTAAATATTTAAATTTTTAATAATGATAAGTTCTAATCAATATTATTGAGCAAAAATAACTGACTTATTATAAAATTGATTTGTCATTTTGTGCTATACAACGGAAAATTTTTATTGTGAACATATAAAAAATCTCAACTACCCTTTTTTGTGATTAAACGGGTTTTCAAAAAACTTCAATAGAAATAGTAATTTTGTTATTAACTGAACTTTATTTTATCATTAAATATTTTTTCATTTAACTAGTTAATTTACAACAAAATACTATTAATTTCAAACGCAAATCAACATAGTACTTTTTAACTTTTAGAACCTTTAAGAAAACTATAAACAAAAATACATTTTTTTTAAGTTCAGTTCATAGTTGAGAGATTACAAAATTTACAATGATTTTTTCTTATTTATTTTAATGACTGTTGTCTCAAGGGATCAGCTTTCACTAAGGCAATATTGACAAATATTGCACCAAAAGAACCTATATTGTATATCTAATTTAAAACATCATCATTAAAACTAAAAAAAATGCTATTTATTTAAAAATAAATAGTTTTTAAATTTAGATAGTGTGAAATATTTTATGATTTTTTAAATTAAAATTGCTGTAATTTAAAAAAAGGCTTGTATCAATCAATTATTTATTTTGTAATATTTTATACATATGTTTCTTTTTTTGGTTTACTTTTTATGGAAAATTTGACCATTAACATAACTATAATGGAGGGTTCAGACAAATTACATGTGTTTATTTTTATTTTAATATTTTTTTATTATTAATATTTGACCACGTTAAGTAAAGTATATGTCTTTTAAAATGTATGTACATTCGCATTGAAGTATTTATGACATTGTTGTATATTACTGTCAAATTTCAATTCATACTGGTGTCTAATTTACGTGATACCCACTATATTAATGAATAAATAAATAGTAAAATGATTAAAATTCAGTCTTAAGCTATAAAATTTGAAGTATATAAACTAAAATGTTGTAATAAGCCAAAGTTATTTACCGGACCACTTGATCTTTCATTAAAATCAATCGGCATAATGCTAGACCAATCATCAAAAGCTCTTCGAAATTCTAAATCTGTTTGCACTTTATTAAGGTTTGCTGAAGGATACTTGACAATTCTGTACGTCAAATTATCTACTCTCCAAGTTTCTACTAATATTAAAAAATACATTTTTTTGAAAATAAATCAAATATATAAAATAAATCAAATTTATTTTCTAAAATAGCCTCTGTAACCTATTTTTCCCTTATTGGTATACAGTTTACTGAAGTGGTAACAAATTCAGTAGTCATGATATTGAAACTTACAGAAATGTCCATATCTTTTGAATCTAGTTCTATAAAATCGATCGATACAACCACATCTGGGTATATTCATCATTTTAAATGTGTCACTGTCTAATTCTCCTAAAAAAGGAATACTTCATGTTATTCAATAAGGCTTAAAAAAGTAATATTTTTAGGAATTGTAGTTCTTTTCTAGTATTAAAAAAAAAGACATTTAATTTAGTTTTAAGTGTATTAAAAATGAATAAAAATTATAGCTTACGTCATTGATTATTTAAATTCAATTGAACTAACCTGTTGTAGGTAATCCAGAAAATGTTTGAAAATCGATTATAGCATCTTTCACAGATTCTCTTTTTATTTTATGAATCATGTTAGGATCCATAGTGGTTGGAGTAAAATAACCAAATTGAATTAAATATTTCTGGTAAAAAATAGTAATTAATATTTTTATACGTTGTGTTAATAAATAGTAGATATTAATGAAGCAATACATATTTAACTAAAAACATATTTTGAGGAAATGTGATAGTATTCATAGAATGGTATTTTATTTGTGTGTAGTCTAAAAAAAAGTATATACACGATGACTTATTNTTTAAAAAAAGTATATACATGATGACTTATTTAAAGCTAGCTAATCGATTTCTCTTAATATAATAATTATTTGTGAACTTTTTTTAGTTTTTGTTAGTTATATATGAATTCCCATTTATTTGTTATATCATAATTATAAAGTTTATCCCTTATATCTTATTGGCGTGTTAACTTTATTTTTTAAATGGCATCTAATGTATTTAACTAGCTTATGAAATATAATAAGAAAATTACTGGTTGATAACTTATGGATAAGTATTTCAGTGTAATTGAAAATTAAAAACAATGACTTGAGGTGAAGAACGGGTACTAGACGTGATAAACATAGCATCACTCCTCCTTCCGCCAAGGTATAAAAATGTTGATAACTACTGAAATACTGATCCAAAAGTTGTTATCATACAGTCATTCCCTATNTACTGAAATACTGATCCAAAAGTTGTTATCATACAGTCATTCCCTATTTAACAAGTTTGCAAAGTTTGTATATTGCTATTAAAAAAAAAAAATGTTTACACCTCTCTAAAATATAAACCATGAACCAAACAAGTACTTAATTGATAAATTAAAATATACGTGTCACTTAAAATAAAAAAATTGCAAAAAAAGGCACAGTGTAGACAAGGCATAGATGGGACAAGTATAGATGATATTTAACAGTGATTAAAATCACTATCATAAGAAACGCTTCGATGCAAATCTGTAGATAGTGTTTCATTTAGAGAAATTGGTGGATTATTCCAAAAGCAACATCAACTCTTANTAGTAGTTCTTTAATTTTAATATATAATATATGAATAAATACTAATTATAATTATTAAATTTAATATGAAATTGATATTCAATAATTTAATGTTGTAATTTAAACGGAGAAATTATAAAAATAATAAAGAAGTTGTATTTTGCTTTATTTTTCGTGTATAAAAATTTGAAAGGCTTGATACAATAAATTTCAATAAAAACTTTTTGTTACTATAAATAAATGCACTGAACTACAAGGAACTTTCATCAGTAACAAAAATATACCATTCTAAATCAACTTTTCGCGATGTTTTCAAATCTGCTATTAGACTTTTTCTATCACTTCTAAGTTTTAATATTATTAAAAATTAGTATTTACATATAAAAAATTCGCATCGAAGCTAAAAATTGGTTATTAAGCTAACTTAAATTTAAAAATTACTTTTTCGACTTTAAAAAAGTAAAAAAAAATTAATAAGTTTAATTTCTTATGTCTTATGAACTTTATTCTATGTCAATTAAATTATATAATATTCATGAAAGTCAATATATTCTCCTAATAAGATATTTTAAAATAAAATAAAATACAAAACCTAGAATTTTAATAGAAAAATAGCATATTTTTGAATACGGTAGCCATTTGCGCATAGAAGATAGGTCGTCAGGAAAACATTTTTTTTTCATTTTATAGTACATAAAATAAGCTTTAATTTGATACATGTTTCAAGGACGCAGTATTTCCGGAACACTTTCAAAAATNATATATGTTTAAAGGACGCAGTATTTCCGGAACATTTTCAAAAATTAAGTTGAAAAAGTTATTTTTTGTAAAAAAGTTACTATTTTAAATCCCCTTTGTGAGCAGAATAAGTGTTAGATTTTCAAAAAAAATGATATCAAACGAAATGAAATTACTTAAAGTTGCAATATAAAAAAATATTATTTTGATTTGTTAATACTTGAAAAAGTTATGGCAGTTTTAAGTACAAACAACATCCTTATAGAAGGTGATTTTTATCGCAAATATTACATTTTTTTTTAAATTTCGACAGCAATTTGCACATAATAGATAAGATGTGGGGACAAATTTTT